TTGTGGCAGTATAATGCATTTTCTTGTTTCTGAATTGAAAACAGGGATATTTGAATTATAGTAAAATCGCATCATTAATATTTTATACTTATTTTCTGTTCAAATAGCTAGTTAAAAACATGACAAATATCGGAAATATTTTTGTCAGCGCGTAAACATTAATTCTTACTAGGACCAGAATAAAAAATTATTAACTGAAGTTTCACCTTGTAAGATTTGAGGCTTTCACGGCGGTGACTATGAAGAAAGCAGTCTTCTGGGATTTGGCACCGTGTATATGTGGTGTTAACCGACGTTTCGGAGGAACGTATCGCCTCCATCTTCAGGGTAGAAGGAAAAATATNCAGTCTGCTTTTACCCGTTCTCACGGTCTCTTCGCTTGCGGGTTTCTTATATTTTTCCTTCTACCCTGAAGATGGAGGCGATACGTTCCTCCGAAACGTCGGTTAACACCACATATACACGGTGCCAAATCACAGAAGACTGCTTTCTTCAAGATTCACTTTATTCCCTCCAGGACTGGCTACATTTGAAGTTGTCTCAACGCTAACTAGAACATTCTCTGACGTGGTGCGTAGGTCGAGCGACAAGATTTTCGTGTGGGCAACGGAGAGAGAATAACATCAAGTCAATAAGGAGAAATCTGTTTTACAACTTACACACTGTTAACAGATAAATAAACAATACTTCATTCCACAACTGTGGGATTACCATAAGTATAATGAAGGATCAGAACTGAAAACCTGGTGTTTTAGTCATAAAATTTGATACATGTAAAATTGTCCCTTTGCTTAATGAAGCACTCCGCCTTCAAGTCGCNAGTATATACTCAAAATGGTTATATGACAGTTTAAGCTACTAGTATTATACACACAGTTTCTCTGTATGATATAAATTACTCGTCGAACGTCATGACATTTTTGGAACGTAGTGTCTAGCGGAAGTGAAGGCTTAACACTTAATGATGATATTATGATTCTGTTATTTTTATTGACGCAATCTCTTGTATACATACTTTGTATAAAATTGTGGCAGTATAATGCATTTTCTTGTTTCTGAATTGAAAACAGGGATATTTGAATTATAGTAAAATCGCATCATTAATATTTTATACTTATTTTCTGTTCAAATAGCTAGTTAAAAACATGAGAAATATCGGAAATATTTTTGTCAGCGCGTAAACATTAATTCTTACTAGGACCAGAATAAAAAATTATTAACTGAAGTTNCAACTTCAAATGTAGCCAGTCCTGGAGGGAATAAAGTGAATCTTGAAGAAAGCAGTCTTCTGTGATTTGGCACCGTGTATATGTGGTGTTAACCGACGTTTCGGAGGAACGTATCGCCTCCATCTTCAGGGTAGAAGGAAAAATATAAGAAATCCGGTAAAAGCAGACAAGTCTGCTTTTACCCGTTCTCACGGTCTCTTCGCTTGCGGATTTCTTATATTTTTCCTTCTACCCTGAAGATGGAGGCGATACGTTCCTCCGAAACGTCGGTTAACACCACATATACACGGTGCCAAATCACAGAAGACTGCTTTCTTCAAGTTTCACTTTATTCCCTCCAGGACTGGCTACATTTGAAGTTGTCTCAACGCTAACTAGAACATTCTCTGACGTGGTGCGTAGGTCGAGCGACAAGATTTTCGTGTGGGCAACGGAGAGAGAATAACATCAAGTCAATAATGATAAATCTGTTTTACAACTTACACACTGTTAACAGATAAATAAACAATACTTCATTCCACAACTGTGGGATTACCATAAGTATAATGAAGGATCAGAACTGAAAACCTGGTGTTTTAGTCATAAAATTTGATACATGTAAAATTGTCCCTTTGCTTAATGAAGCACTCCGCCTTCAAGTCGCATTCTTAACCTCGTACTAGACGGAGCTGAATAGTGGGATTTATGTTCTGTGCTCTTCTCTCCTCACATCAGCAAATGTATATGAGACTGGGTGAGTTCCCCAGCCTCTCTGAACGCAATGGAAAGGAGAACAAATCAAGCCCCTATTGGGAATCGAATCACAGTTTCTCAGGTCTTAGCCGGTCGCTGTAGAGACTTAGCTACCCTATTCTGAACAAGAAACTAATACACTTCTCAGAAAGATGACACATTTTTTTTAAATGTTTATTTGTTGTGTGTTGTGTGTCTGTGTGTATGTTTACATAAATAATGTCATTACAGTGTTGAAACTTGAAGAACATACGTGTATTAAGTGGAAAAGTAACTCAGGCTTATAGTAATCCTTGTGAAGGAAGAAACAAATGGCGAACCAGAATAGTGTGCGTGCAGAATAATGGAAAAAATAAAATATTTTAATATCCTATTATAACATTACAATAGATGAACGTAATTTTTAATATGAATGATATAACCTATAACATTTCAATTATTTTACGGATTAAATTACTTTATAAACTATGCGAATAAAATTTTAACATTACTTAACTATGTTTATAACATTTGATAATTCTTTTAAAACAAAACTTAGCTTAACACAGAAAATTCACGCACGTGATAATAACGTCCACAAACAACATAACAAGCTATTATACTACTCTGTAGATATATTGATATGTAAGGCTATATTTGTAATATCGGTGGCGGGGTACATCATGTAACAATTGCTTTGGAATCACTTGTCATTCAAGAAAAAAATATTTCGGTGTACTGACAGCTAATACACTTCCAAAAAATTGGCATTTGAAATTATTGGGTAAATATACACGTTCCAATCGATCATAATATATCAACATTTAAGGTTATATGCCATTTATAATGTTAACTATAATACTATGCAGAAGCTCTCAAGGACAGTCAATTTCAGTAACAGATATATGCCACCTAGATATATTTTTATTTAATCCTATCTTTAGGTAATACTTATTACAAGTAAACCATAACAGTAATGTCACACCTGTATCAGAATGTATCAGTCTGTTATTACCTGCTCTTAGCTCTACTTACTTCATGTCTCGCGTACCATTTCGAATTATAGCCTAGCACATAGCATATATAATCATATTCATTTATTTCTTTAAGTATTTTAGTCATTTTCGTGTACCTGAGCGATTCTTAAACTGTAGCTTACGTACTCCATAGAAAATTCAAGATTAAAGATAAATGAACCTTTATACAATATCCTTGCAAATAACATTAATTTTACGACCATTGAACCATTTGAGTATTACGGAGATTTTTGCATGTAATTCTACCACTTGAACAGAGAGATATTTTTATTTTATGAAGAACTTTTAAGACATTTTTACTATACGGTATGCATATTCTAATTTGAGTAAATTACAACTTAAAAAATGATCTTAATTTTTTCGAGTCAAATACATTATAATATAAAAGAAGAATGGCAATAGAATGTATAAAATTAAAACTAATATTACCAACATAATAACTGTAAGTAGATAGTAGTAGATATACAGTGGATATTGTGTCTCAAATTAAGAATTTGGAAGACGCCAAAAAAATGTGAAACGCTCCTCTTCTTAGACAGTTCAAGAACCACTAAAATAAAATCCTCAGTTTGCTCTTACCGTGACATCACCAATTGTCTACTTTCTGCGTGCTAGCATTACAACAACAACAACAACAAGAGTAACAACAGTGGCATTGCGTGTCAATAATATCAACGTTTATTTTATAATATATAACACAAAATATATTCCGATTTATAAAGTAATTTCACTTTATTCTAATAGTGGAGAGAACATTTGCATATGCAGCCACAGCATTTGGTCATGTAATGCCCTCCTGCCATGAGAATCAGTGATCAGTACTGTGTCGACCTACCCTAATGAGACAAAATCTTCTAATGTTTAATATTGCAATGCACATGACTGTGTTACACATTGGGAGTAAATCAAGTTTAAGTATCACACATAATAAACATAAAAATTTAACACTGTGTTTTCTACTTATATTAACGAAATCCAAATATTATTCAGCGAATAAATATATTTGTATAAAATTGTTTTATAATTTAAATGAAATATTAATTGAAACACACTTCGCACAGTGTATTTTTTATACATTATATTATATCAGTGACTGTAACAAGCCACCTCACAGTAGCATTACATATATAAGTTTGTAAAAATCGCTCTTATCAACATTGATATTTGTGAACCGAAGCTGAGACCCCTTAACAGATTTTATGATTGTTCAAAACAATGTACAGATCAGAAACATGTGATGATATGTTAGAATATCACATTTGTGACATGAGAATATACACCGATAATTCTATATATATGTACTTAACAAATCCCAAATAACAGAACACCAATGAGCATTCCCAGTGGATAGTATCGTGGTTGTAATAATGCATTTCTCTATTTTTAATATTTGCATCCTGTTGCTTGAGTATAACTAATAATACAGATTCCACCGTCAACGCAACTGTAATTTATTAAATTATGTTCCACTGCATGTTTCGACTCTTATATGGTCATCCTCATGTGTTGTCATTTACACATATTCATTACTGAATTGTAAAGCATGTATTCATATTTCATACATGGGCTTGAAATGACTACTTTCTATGTACATTTACATTTTAACTGCTACATGTTGATTTAAATACAATATATATATATATGAAACTAAAAGTTAAAAATTAAAAATTAGTAGAAATGTAAATCGTCTAGCAGTAAGAATATAAATGTACATATAAAATAGTAATTTTAAGCTTATGTGTGTAATTGTGAATGAAAATGTGTAAATCACCATTTTTTTTCTTTGGCACTACAGCCCCAGTGGGCCTAGGCCTACCTCCATGAACTCCGTTCACTTCGGTTTTTCTAGATCTTACACATTCGGTAGGACTCCTTGGGCGAGTGATCAGCTCGTCGCAAGGCCTCTACCTGTAGACAAACACAGAAAAACGCACACAAACATCCATGCCCTGAGTGGGGTTCGAACCCACGATTCCGCCTTCCGAGCGAGCGAAGACAGTGCATGCCTTAGACCGCTCGGCTACCGTGACCGGCAAATCACCATTCAGTGGAACATAAATTAAAACATTACAGTTGCGTTGACGGTGGAATTTGTATTATGCGTTTCTCTGTCTAATACTTCAGTGATATGTTCTTTACAGTACAAACTTGCTGAACACTACGTTTATTTGTGTACATTATAAAGACTTCTGAGTCCCTGTAAATAAAATTAAAAGCCAGTTGAAGCCGAACTCAGCTTCCGGTGGTTCTCAAAACCTCCTGTGAAGGGTTGAGCTTTAGATCCGTGTGTCATCATCAGTAAACGATGGGGAATGTTTTCATTTGCATGGATTCGCCACGGGATATTGGCACGTCTATAGCCTGCCAAACATTTAACCAAGAATAGTATTACTAATTTGTACCGCTACACTAAATTTAAAAAAATATTTCAACACCAAGGCCTAAGTTTACAAAATAACGTTGCCGATTCCAACGTCTTTGCAAATGTAATAATGTTTATGCCTGTATTCTTACATCGTAAAGACGTAACAGTTGAATTGTACTACACATAAATTATATTTGTAATACATACTTTACATTGCCGCTACAAATAATCGCTAACTACTTGTGCTAGCGAGGGGAGACGGTGGAACTGTAGGTAATGAAGGAATTTTTTAACAAATTTAGAAATATCTGCGAAACTTTCTAAAGTTCTTCGGATGACTGAAACCTCTGTAAAACAAACTTAACGTTCTCTTTATCACCAATTTCAAGTTCGTAATGTCGCAAATACGTGGAGCATATTCCTAGAAAACCTGATGATTGCTAAAGTAGCTCAGGAAATCCCTGATATATACCATGTATACAAAGAGCAGTCACTGGATTTTATCACAAGATGGATCCGAAGATTGTAGATTAACCGTATGAAGTACAGGGGTGTCTACAATGTGAAGAATTTGCTCAAAGCATTAAGCTATACAGCCAGAAAACCCCGTTGCTAGGTAAACACGTTCAAGCAAACACGCGACCAACAATCCGGGAACAGTGTTTCCTATGTGGTTCACCCCGTGACCGTTGCTAGGCAGCAGCTACTGCGCCAGTGGATTGGCTGGGTAGCGATCATGTTGGAACCCTAATAGAGACTTCAACAATAGACGCTGTGTTTTCTGATGGGTCCGTGCCGAGGAGTTGTCTTGAAAACAGTCTACGCTACGAGGAGTTGAGAGTTGAGGATTCGGCTATGGAGTGTTAATAATCGGGCACCGGAAGCGGAAGAATCTCCATCTCTAAGATTCGTCAGCAGGAAATGTCTAGTGAAGACACGACAGAGGAATAGCCAATGTGGACAGCTGTTACTAAGAATAGTGGAAATAAACTGAGAATACTTAGTATGTAGTGATTTGTAGTGTAAAAATCAGCAATAGTGTAATAATTATTTGTAGTTACTACCTGTAAGTGGCCAATAAAATTATTAACCAATCCATACCAATTAAGCATGTTTGAACATTAAAGAAGCTACATTTTTTCCCACAGCTTATATTTTCTTCTTATGGTTCTCAAAATAATCTGCGAAAATTTCATTAACCGTATTAAGTAACTGATTTGAAAAAGAAGTTCCTTTCCTTTATGATAGGAGCTGAATTTTTAGATATTATTTAGAAGGAATTCGTGATTCAAAGGCTTAAATGGGTGGGTTATACCAACCCTTACACCTCGATCAACTTCGAAGTTTTGTTTGTTGTCTTTGTAATTTAGCCCTCTTGCGGTCTCATTCTTGGCATGAAGCACACTGCCTTATTCAGTGAGGCATTTAGGTAATATTTTGTCTCCAGCGAATCGAGTCTAAGGTCATGACAAGAAGTTAGCTGGAACCTCAGTGTGACGTAGGAAATCTGAAGCCTTCTGCTTTTTGTTACGGCACTTTTCGGTACATTATGAACACGTGAATTTAACTGCCTGCATTAGTGCACATAAGCACCTGTATCATTTGTCCATACTGTACACTTCTTTTGTTGTAGAATTCCCTGAAACTTTTGTCTGTGATTTATTCTTACCAGCCATTGATATTTTGTGGAGTCTCTTCAATATCTAACGTTTTTTCTTACAAAAAAAAATATTTTAAAAATTGTATAAAAATAAAAATACGTCCCACAATCTAATATGAACACATTTAGTTCCCATGGTTACCTACACATTGTCGTCGCCATCTTGTTTTGGCACAAAAAATGTCGCTTATTTGTAAATTGCTTTAAATGCAGACCGTAAATAAGGGATGTAAAAGTAAACAAAAAAAACGTAAATTTAGTCCAACACATTTCCTTACGTACGCGTATCAAGTTTCAGATTTCTAGATTCCACTTTTTTTTTAAATTAGAGCGTTAGAAGACAAACCCACATACAGTTTCCATTATTCAGTGATTTACGTCTATTCCTGAAATAACGACACCTGCAATTAGTTTTATGTTGACATTGCCTTAAACACAAATCAAATACTGTTTTTTTTTCAGTATTACGATATTAACTTTTGGTTCTGGTACTTCAATAAATTTAAGTTGTGGCTCTTTCATAAAAACGGAAGATTATTGTTTACAATAGTATTCAGTTATTGCAATAATTTGGATTTTTCCCACGTAAGGTATAATTAAATGTAGTAATTTCTGATTTTCCACCTTCCTAGACTTCCCAATAAACGGAAACGGGATAGATAAAATGTAGTTGTCTTTACAGAGGCTTCATCTCAGGTTTCATCATTAAATATTACAGAAAATGCGTAACTAAAAGACAGGAATTCGGTTGTCTTAGAATTGTAATGTATTCAAGGATTCTCGTAAAGGTCTATATCAGTGCCTGTCAGTATCGACTGGTTTCTTTATGTCCTCATTTTTAGTAATCAAAAATACCGAATTAATATTGTAACAAATACAACATTGGAAATTCTCACAACAAAATGCATAAATTCTTATTAACCTAAACTCTGAAATATCAAAATACACCCCTCATAAATCTTAAAGTTCGTTTACTACCCTCAAGATTCGTCAATGTCATCGCTCTAACTCATAGTGACACTCCTCTCAGAAAAGTTCGCCTGTTGGGTTCGCTCAGTCCGTCCATTTATACCCATAACATCTTATAACCACTAGATGGGTTTTAATGAAATTTAATATTGGAGAATTTTACGATTAATTATTAAACCTCTTCAATTTAATTTAGAGCGGACATATTTAACAACGATTAACATTACAATCATCATGCATTTCTGCTCGTATCTTAACTAAATATTCGTCGAAGAGAAAAATGTTGTCAGCAGCAATTGTAGAGAAAATTGATATGCATGTTTTGTGTGTAGTATATTTTGTTTAAGAAATGCATCCTGTTGTGTGTTATACTAGTTATAAATTATCTATGAATTCGGGTCAAACACAACAATTCACCAAATAACTCACATTTTTATCGTCTACAATTGAGTCTTGTTAGTCCAGAATACTATTTCGCTATATATAATGGTAATAACATTTGTTAATTCTATCGCCTGAGGATGGCCCTTTGAGCCGAAACATGTAGCGACATCGTATTCTGGACCAATAAAACTCAATTGAACGCGATAAAGTGTGAGTGAATTATTCGGTGAATTGTTGTGATTGGCAGGAATGAACAGGATAATTTATATATAGTACATTTTATTTGACAGTCTTACTCTTTGGGAGGATAATTGAAGAAATGTGATATTATAGATACATTTTCGAACTCCGCACTTAACAACCAACCGTGGCTCCCAGAGAAGAGCCGCGTTTAAGAATAGAACAATAAGAGAAAGTCCTTATTGACTTCGAACTGCCGTAAAATAAGCTTTGTTTCGTTCTGTTAATATAGTGCTCCATTACATTACGGCTTTGAAGCGTAGGCCTGTATAAAATAACTTATATACACTTAAGTTTCTTTTTAAGTGCATAATAAAAGAAAAAATAGAAATTTTAATATTGATTTTTATTGATTCATGAGTCCTGTATACACTTGATTCCTCGACAGTTTGAGTAAGCAGATGTAAAGTTTCCCCTGTGCTTAAATCACGTATGGGGAGTGGAGATATAGCTCCACCATTCTTAACCTCGGCATTGGATGTGAGTGGTCAACTTCAAACACCGCCGAATTTACCCCCCGGGGAAAGAGTCCGCAGTAACAATTTTATAGGAGGATGAGTGGGCCCCAGAGCCGGTCTGGACCCAGAGAAATAAATATTCTTGCCCCTGACGAGAATCCAGTCCGGAGCCTATTGCTCCTCCGGCAGAGCACTCCCACCTCTAATTTTAGTAACATACGCTGACAGAGAACAGGTTATAAAAGATAAAACAACTCCGTACAGTATGACTGTTGAAGTTTTTACTGCTTCAAACAACACGGCACGTCACGAACAAACACAGGACGATATCAAAGAACCTCCTTCTCAAGAACGACAGGCGGCACAAGTTCGGCCCCCGTCAAGAAAGGCGATAAGAGAAAGGACACGAAGCATTTGGTTTATAAATTTTAACTTAACAAAAGTTTTAAAAACCTTTAATATACCAAGACAACCGCTGTAGTTGTGAAAACTTTGGATTTTGTATATATTGTGAATTACAAACATTGTATGTGTATATATTTTAACATTCAGAGCACCCATTGTAATAGCGGTTTCCAAAGGGTATCGATGTCCCTCTGATGATGGTCTATAGGGACCGAAACATGTAAGGGTGTTAAGAATTGAAGTAGTAAAAACTTCAACAGTCACACTGGACGGAGTTGTTTTATCTTTTATAATATTGTTAGTGTGGCGGACCAGAATGAAACAAATCAAATACAGAGAACAGGTGTTTGTGAATTCGATGCTTGTTTGTTATAAGGGAAGAATTTATCGTAGTCTTATTCATTTCCTTCTACCGAACCCTCCTGTCAGTTGTACAGTATACACTTTTACATTCATGTTCCTTTTCTAGAAAACCGAGATTAACGGCCGTGGGGATCCGTCTCGCTGACCACACGACACACTCTATCCGCAAAAGTTGGCACTAACTTCGCCGACAAGCGGCGGTCGCTCGGTCGGTATATTTCGTTTGCAGACTACATGCCACGGAGTTTTGTTCCTTTACTAATCGGACGGAAGAAATCATTTAGTAAGAATTTTCTTCTGTTCACAAACCATCATGCTGCTACACTTATCGGTTCATTTAAATGATCATCTATTGACTCATATCATGTCATTAATTTTCTGACTACAGAATTACAAATGTACTTCCAGATGATATTGTATGTATCCAGTGTACTCATGTTATAAGCAAAGATTAAATTGTATGTATGCTTAATTAAGTGCCACGCCGTGAATACGTATGAATGCGTGGAGGTGTAGTTCCATTTATTCTTCGCCGCGGCATTAGATGGAGGTGAGTCGTCAGTTTCATGCTTCGGTAACTTTACCCCTGGTAAGCAATGGGTAGAGTAGGTGGGCCCCAGTGCCAGTCTGAACGTTTCAGAAAAGAGAAAACCCTCTTTCCCCTGAAGGAATTGAATCGCGAGTCCCTGGTCATCTAGCTCGTGGTCTAGCGATTATACTGATCGTGATTCCGTGCCTTATTATTTCAAATTTCAGAAGTCATAAACCTCTTATCCTGAGGATGAAAATAAGTACTTCGAATTGTCTCATTACCGCTTAATTAGGAATTATTACGACATAAATTTCAATTCTCACGTCAAACATATTAATAACTGAAAAAAATATATATATAATGTCCATAAATATATTTCTATAAATGTTTATTTTGACAATTTACCGATCACTATGTCATTCGATAGATATCCCTACACCTTTTATCTTTTTTTTTAGATAACTCTTTTTAGATTAGATGTTTTTGCTGGTAATTTACCACAAAAAAATTCATTTTGCAAACGGATCATTGGGGATTCTTTGAATACTGCCTTGAAGCAAACTATTCCTAAAGTGTCAGTTCAGCGTTAGAGCGATGTCTGGCCTTGTTTAGGGTTGTTACTATTTTCAGTCACGGGAATTGCCGTTGAAGGGTTCCCTCTACTCCCCCCACCCCCAGGCCCCATGCCGATGGAGCCTCGTTGTCGAACCCCTCGTGTCTTCTCTACCTCGGCCATGTCCATGTCGTCGTCGGGTTCCAGCGCCGGGTTGATACGGCCGTTCATCTCGTCTTTACCAACCATTGTTGCTGCACCATACTGCCGCATTGCGCTCATCATAACAGACATCTGCTTGCCGCTTTCGGCAGGCTCGCCAACTCGCTCCACGTCTTCCGGAATGTTGACCACGCAGCGGAAGAAATCGTATCCTGGAGCCAGTCTCCCTGTCTCGAACACCCACCTGTAGACAGAGGTGTGCAGATTCACGAGTTATCAAGCTCTTGACACAAACTGTGACGACAGAAATTCTAACAAACTCCGAGGAGAACGGTCCTAACAACTCGCAGCCTATTATAGGTCCCGGCCTTCTAGAAAGCTGAGAGTAACACGTGACACCCTCTATCCGCTAAAGTTGGCACTAACTTCTCCGAAAAGCGGCGGTCGCTCTGTCGGTATAGTTCCCTTGAGGACTACAGGCAACAGGGTTTGTTTGTTTATTATGGATCTCTGAATTATCACTATCGTGTTCACAAGGATCCGCCACTGAACACTGCCCTAAACCACACATATACTGTAACATCCTCACAAACTATTTCTTTGAGATAATCTGTATTTTAATCTTCCTCGAAGCCTCAGTTTGTAAGATGTGTTTCTTTCATAATTTCCGTCTAAAATTTCGTTTGCATTTCTCATCACCCCCATGCGTTCTACAAGCCTAGAAAAATTGTGTGATCGTAATAATATGTGGTGAAATTACAAATCATGAAGCTCCTAATTACACAGTTCTCTCGCCCTTCCTCTCTCTCTATGGTTGAGACACTCTCCTCAGCATATTAGTCTCAAACGTTCTCAGCCTGTGTTCATCTCTTAGGTTATGAGACTAAGTTTCTCGCCATATACACGTAGAAAAAGAAACATGTAAAATTATGCGTTTTATATCTTAACCTTTGAAATTTGGGTCTAGGTATGGGAAGGGAATACATAATATTCTGATTGATAGGAAACATTCCTTAAATTACAGCTGGTCTTAATTTCTCCTAACTGTAGTTTTCATTTGTTTCTTTCGTTCGCAAATATTTGAGTTCCGACACAATTGTTAATTATTTCTATATTATAATTTTGTTTTGCATTCAGCTGACTGCCGGTCACAGTAGCCGCGCGGTCTAAAACGTGAATTGTTTTCGCTCGCTCGGACACTGGGATCGTGAGTTCAAATCCCAAGTACGACATGGATGTTCGGTGTGTGTTTGTCTTTATCCTATCTTTGTGTTGTCCTGTGTTTAGGTAGAGGTCTTGCGACGGACTGAACACTCGTTCAAGGAGTCCTACCGTCTGTGAAAATTGTTATGGAACTGAATAAGAGGCCTGGGCCCTGAATGGGCTGGAAGAGCCATTGAAAAATAAAATCCGAGGAGACATGTACATATAGTTAGCTTTATCTGCCTTTCCTAGACCAACCACTTTAATTCAAATTTCTGTTTTGTATATATATTTTCACTGACTCTACAGCCTCTTGGGCCCTGGCCTCTGATTTTTCACTTTCATGATCATTACAGACGGTATGACTCCTTGGACGAGTGATCAGCTCGTCGCAAGGCCTCTACCTAAACACAGGACAACACAAACACGGAATAAACGCATACATCTACCAAACATCCATGATTTGTGTGGGTTTAGAATCAACGATCCCGGCTTCCGAGCGAGCGAAGACATTACATGCCTTAGACCGCTCGGCTACCGTGACCGGCGTTTTGTTATATATACGAGTATGTGTGTTCGATATATATATATATGCGATGCCAATTTTCAGCATTTATATACCAAGCAGGTTACTAGTAATGATTCCTTCGATTTTCAGTCGAAACATCTACAATCCTAATTGAGACTTTTCATGATTTTATGCACTCCCTTCAGACAAATTGCAGACAGGTACTTCGATCACTTCACGACTGTTTCTCTCCCAATCCTTTCAAATATATTGTTCGCCACTGCCCTGTCATAAGGCAGTCGTCATAAGGCACTGACAATATAAGAGACGGCTACTCACTTGGTGCCCCAGGAGACTAAGATGAGCGTAACAAGGGACATGAGCATGGCTAGAGTCCGGAATGGAAACAGCTGACGTTCACCATCCCAGCCAGGATAGTGGATCATGGGAGGTAGCCCAAGCAGTGGCTCTCCCCCAGTCATTCTAACGAAGAAGGCCATGATGTAAGCTGACAGACTGCCGTACGTATTGCAGTGATGCTTGAAGTGAACGACCATCAGCAGTTGTGGAAACAGTATAACGTACACCAGATCAGAACACATGGACCTGAGGACAGAGATATGGGCGTGAGATCGAGTAAATCGTGCATCAAATGAGAAGTGAATATGTGATAAATAGTTAAGAAAGTAGCATTGAAGTAAGCGTTCATAGTTCATTAGACGGTTGGTTTGGTGGGACAGAGGAAAACTACGAAAATATCAAAAGGTACCCTGAGCGGGATTTGAACCGGATACAAGTAAAACTTTTTTCCACTCATTTAAATATATTATAAACAATAAGATAATTTGAATTATTTAAGGCTATAGCAAATAGGATTATTGCAATACAATGAAAAATTGTATATATGTCTGGGTTTCCGGAGAACTTATGAATTACATTGTATTAATATTTTCTGTTTTTTTTTTGTATGGCTTAATTTGTACCATTCTCCCTTTTTCAATTTGTGTTTCCGCCGCCAAGAACCAAGGTAGAGCTAGAATCTGATGCGTTCTACCGAGATGGAAAGAGAGCGGGAATGGTGACTGGAGACGCGGGTTTGGATCGATAAGTCGATTTATTGGATATTCACTAGTCGTAACTACATATAATTTAACACTTTCAAGTTGACTATAATTATAACACATAAATGAAGTCATCTATATCTGCTTACACTGGTCGTTGTTAGGTAACAGATCTAAGCAATGGTCATTCGTCTCAAAAGTTTTCACTGTCTCTTTCCTGGCAACGGATTTTAACTATAATTGTAACACTACACATATCACTGTACCACAGCACACATACAGTCTTCTAATCACACGCTAAGCCTTCACAGGCCGATTTCTAATTCTTCTTCAACTACGAACTTCCCGTGGCTATCTCCTACCGAGAACTGACTGACTCGTAGCGCCGATTGTCTTCAAGATAACTACTATGCACGGATCCCACGGAAAAAACCGTCTTCTTTTTTTTTAAGAATGCATGTTTACAGCGTCGTTTTCTGGAAATAGACGTCCTATTGTCTCATGCGTTTCCTTTGGGCGGACCACATAGAAAAAACAGTTTCCCCTATATTGTCACGTTTACGGCCGTCACATGGAAAAAGCAGTGTTTCTATTGTCTGTATTCGTTGCCGTGAGAATGTTTACGGACTTTTCTCTATTGTTATGTCGCAAGATCAAGTAGCCGCCTATGTAGCTGGCCTCAACACAAGTATCCTACTTAGGGGTTAGAAATCTAAAGTAACACCAATGCTGCCGAATACGTTTTGGCTACATCATTCCGTTTGTACGATGTTTAATTTCGTTCCATAATTTAAACGAAGGTTTGCACTTTGTATCCCTTAAAGTCTCCTTCGGTGATGCCTTAATGATTTCTCCAAACTGATGATTTGACTCCTTCACGGCAACTAAAGTTGAAAAAATCTTTCCGGGCTAATTGTCATATCAGTTGTTCAAAAATTTCCCACGTTTCAATGATGATGTGAGAGACAGAGATGACCCCTGAAACATCGATAATTTTTAAACCACTGAAACGGCTGATAGCTCGAGAAGAATTTATGTTCTTACAAGCATTTCATTCCCCTTGATGCCTGTAATTTAAAATTCTTCCTAATACATTCCCCCACCATTCTTTTCATGATCTGAAATCGTACGAGCTAATTCGTTGCAGTTGGAGTCTTCTTAACACTAAATCACTCATTCAGGTAAAAATGGCAAAGCTATCCCTGTAAAGGGCCGTGGAGGTCCATAGGGTTGTGAGACTTGTCAGCCATACGCACCGGCAGCCCTTTACACCCAGGAAGATTCCTGGTACTCATTTCTGTTAGAGGCTGAGTCGACCTCAGGGCCATAGTGCGGTTGGAAGGATAAGGTAAATTGAAAAATCCAATAACCTCATCGGCAATCGAACCCGCGACCTTCCTGCTTGTAGCATAGTACCTCAAACAACTACACTACCGCTTGCCCAGTAAGTCATTCATTAGTCAACAAATTACCCTCCATTTATAGAACCCATAGTTCATTGCCGTATTCACAACAGCCCCACTGAACACTATCGTGAACTAGATGAATCTAGGCAGCATCTAAGTACATATTCTCTTAAGATCCGTGTTAATATAATTCTCACATCTATGCAAAACTCTCCTCTCTTTCTACATATCCAGAGTCGTCATCGGTTTCATCACCTTCATAATATTTTATGAAGAGTACAGATTATGAAGTTTCTCAAATATTATCTGCAATATTCAGTTCTTGCGCTCTGAAAGAAATTACCTCTGAGTTGTACTGAGCACATGAAATTAACAATTCTTTTTGCGCATACCGCACGATACATACCAAAGACCGTAGATTGAAGGGATTGTAAGAGCCATCACTGTTGCCAACACTCCAACAATTACGATTGAAACCCTCATGACCCAGATAATCTCCATCTCTGAAGCCTGTAAGGAGAAATTTCATTACACTCTGTAATGTTTGTACTCTGTTATCCGTGGAAACGAAACTTTTACACGTGCGACTAATCGAAAATCTCTTCACTTGCTAGATTTGAGAACTTTTAAAAGATGCCATCCTATTGGTTACATATGTTAGGAACTACATGTTTTTGTTTCATGATCTCCATTAATAGAGGAATAGTTCAGTCAGTATAGCTACATGTTACTAGCTGTACAGCCGGGGTTTGATTTCCGGCAGATGCAAGTTTTTTCTCTTCTTCATAGCGTCCAGACAGGCTCTGGGGCCCATCCAACCTCCTATCCAATGGAATAACGCGGCAAGGACGTGAAACTGACCATTAATTCCATCTAGTGCGAGGTCAAGAATGGTGGAGCTATGAATTCACTCCCCCCTACATCTTCGTGGCGTTATAATTAATTTAATCACAGGGTCAAATTTAACTTTACTCTGTATTAATGTAATGTGGAATAGCTCAGTTAGTTACGTGAGATGGGCGATCGTGAACACCTTCACGCCATAGGCAACACATCCGAAACGGTCCTAGGTTGCATCCAGCCCGTTGTCAAAATGGAATTCATTTTAACTATTCACAGACGTAACTTGTTCTTGCGCAAAAGTGCCATACGCAGTTTTGCCATGGTACTTTTGCGCAGGAACAAGTTACGTCTATGATAGTTAAAACGAATAAATGTTCGAAACTCACTTTAGTTTCACCTCCCTCGCCTACCAAAGGGTAAAGATATTCCTATACTTAATTCATTGAACAACAAACGCCTTGAAGGCATATGAGGAGTGGAGGTATAGTTCCATTATTTGGCTTCGGCACTAGATGGAGGTGAGTGGTCAGCTTCACGTCCGTGCCGCTTTAACTCTTGGGAAAGACTCCGCCGTACCCATTATATAGGAGGCTAGCTGGATCACAGAGCCTCTCAAGATCCTATAGAGAACAGAAAATTTATTTCCATTGCCGGGAATTGAACCCCAGATATCCAACCCGCCACTATATCGACTGAGCATTTCACATATGTCCTATGCTCCAGAGGAATCAACAGGAAATATGAATCAATCTAGGGCTATAGTTAGAAATCCATGGATATCTACCTCCGCGCTACAACACATGTCAGTGTCAGGTACTTAAATATAGCGATAACTTTTCCTGTTTCTTAACGGTTATATTGTTACAGCGCTTCATACAGCTTATTTCAGTGCCAGATCCGATTTTACTTTCAAGAATATTAAAATGAAGCTCATTTGAATATATCCGACAATATTTACGGAGAAGCACACAGCTGTCAAAATATGTTATTCAGCCTTTTTCAGCAAAAGAATGCAATCACATCGTAACCTAATGCCCCAAGAGAACAATAGGAAAGAAGAAAGCCGGTTACAAAACGATAATAAATTCACCTAACATCTCCTATAAGGCACTGTAAGTTGGATTGGCTGCGCTTCTGAATTTCTTGCGTTTTGGCCTCCGTGTTCGCCGGACATCGAACCAACCGATTGCTTTCTTTATGGAGAACGATGTTTATGAGGCCTTACGGAATCCATATGACATGTCGCATCTTGTACAGAATACGGCGGTCAATATCAACCATACTGGTATGTATGTGTATGCCAGACTTGGCCCTGCGTATGGTTATTGTTGTATTCTTTCTGATGGCTATGTATTAGAGTATTTAACATTGGGAAATGGTAGATATAATATACGTAGGTAAAGTTATCCCTGTAACTGGTCGTGAAGGCCCATAGGGTTGTGAGACGTCGAGGCTCCCACATCTTCTGTAGACCATCGGTTCACAGATGGCGGTGAGGTTGTCAGCCTTACACGCCAGCCGCTCTTTACCTCCCAGGAAGATTCCTGGTGCTCATTTCTGTTTGGGTCATATTGCGGCTGGAAGGATTCGGTAAATTGAAAAAAAATAAATCCATCTTATCGAGACCCGAACCCATAACCTTCCGGCTTGTAGCATAATGCCTCAACCAACTACGCCACCGCGTGCCCCATATAGTATAAATATATAATAGTTAATAGTCATTTTGCATCTTACAGACCACAAATCATGTGATGTCTGAAGCTCCGTGTCGAAATATTTCTATTCATAAGTTATTAACATTTTCTAGACGTGTACACTTCCTGCTGTGAGGAGGATAAAGAGTATTTATACGATTTGTGTATTTCGGGTGAATAATGAGCACTAACCCTCTGCCGAAAGATGAGTTTGTAGACGTTTCTTGCGAACATAGAACTCGCTGAGAGGACGCTGGAATCCGCTGACGACATGACAGCAGCCGAAACGGCGCCCAAGCCGAAGAAAGACACGAAGCTTGGTGTGAGGTATTGCAGAACCATAGGGAGTATCATGCTGGTTTCTTCCGTTGTCAGAGGGTACACCCCTTTGTACCCCGTCTCGTTCCACGCTGAAACACGAGTTTTAACAAATAATGTAACATTCTTCATTATCTAATTATCTGTGACAACGGTTGAATAGTTATACAAAGATTTCGGTCGATATTGTCCATTGGGTCAGGTATATTTTTGTTCACAATTTTCAATAAGTTTTCCACAGCGTCCAGACTGAATCTGGAGTCTACCAAGCCTCATATCCAAAGGAAACCGGGGGTGATTTCCCTGGGCATAATACGGCAGGTCCTTGAAGCTGACCGCTCACCTCCACCTAGTGCTGAGGTCAAGAATGGTGGAAATGCGCCTCCATTAATCTTCATTAACTGGTGTCTAATTAATTAAGCACAGGGAGAACTTTACATTTTTTTCCCCTTGGCACTACAGCCCCAGTGGGCCTAGGCCTACCTCCATGAACTTCTCCGTTCACTTCGGTTTTTCTAAGTCTTACACATTCGGTAAGACTCCTTGGGCGGGTGATCAGCTCGTCGCAAAGCCTCTACCTGTACACAGACACAGAAAAACGCACACACAAACTAATCATCCATGCCCTGAGTGGGACTGGAACCCAAGATCCCGGTTTCCAAGCGAGCGAAGACAGTACATGCCTTAGACCGCTCGGCTACCGTCACCGGCTCAACTTTACCTTTACATTTCGGAAATTTGTTCCGGTTCCGTCATTAGTGTCAAAGGGGGATGAATATTAAATTATAGTAATTCTATCTTTATGTTACATCGAATCTTGCGTGGGGTTTTCTGTTTTCCTTCTCCCTGTCCAGACGAAAGCCGGGACGTCTTGTAACAGGCTTCAATAGATTCTGTATTTCAGCTTCCCGTTGCAATTGTTCAACTTTACGTCCAGTATTTACCGTCCGTCAATATTGCAACACTTCCGTTCACCACTCAATTTTAGTTTAACATTATACACCTTGACACTACATGTTTCGGCCCCAAACGGCCAGCTTCATGTGTCTTGATATGTTACAAATATTTTATTAAATTGTGTTGAAACTGCTACACTGTCTTAGTTCGTGTTAAAATCACACGTTTTAGTCCTCTTTTCAAGATAAAACTAGATAAAATACTTTAAAATGGGTATAATAGAAACTTCTTAATCTTAAACTTCGTAATCTTAATATTGTGACATGACGCTTGAAGGCCGGAATAGTGGAACTAGAGTAAACATTCATTGCTAGGCAACTGCTCGGTAAACACGTTCCCGCATCAACGAATACATAAGAAACAATAGAAGTTTTGTTGAGCTATAACGACGGAAACGGTGCTTTCTGTTGGGTCCTCCTCGAGGCTATATAACGGGTATCCCAGGCCAGCTGAGATAAGAAATGAGGGAGTCTTTCCATACGGCAGTCGAAGATGACCGCAACGAGGTCAGTTGGGATATGAAAGTCAGCCTATGACGAGAAGACTTAGCATGTGATTTGAAGACTTTTATGTGTGGTGTAGTTACAGTGAGACTTATAAACCCATTGTCAGGATACAACTAGTGAAGATTGAGAAGACTTATCGTGTCCTAGTGATTTGTAAAGAGTGGAGATTAGCGGCAGCGTTATAGTTAATTAGTTACAAATTGTATGTTAAAGTTGTAAATAAACGTAATATCCAATCCATTCTCCGTCTATAGCCACACACTCCTAAATACGTGACGATATCTATTAGCTTCTCATATCAATTTGTAATTCGCCAGGAATCCATCCCTCCCACAACTTAACCACTCATTCGTTTCTTCAACTAAAAAGGAACAAGTTACTTTGTGCAACCGTATTTTGTAATAAACAAAACAAACTCCGTGGCCTGTAGTCCGAAAGCGAACTATAGCGACCGAGCGACCGCCGCTTGTCGGCGAAGTTTTTCCCCACTTTAGCGGATAGAGGGTGTCGCGTCAACGAATCCCCACGACCGTTAATTTCGGCTTTCTAGACCGGAGCCGCTATTTCCATGAAATAGCTCCTCAATTATCCTCACGAGACTGAGTTGACCCCGTTCCAGACCCACTACTTCTCAGAAAATCTGGTGGCGCAGGGAGTCGAACCCGGACCTCTGGATCTGTAGCCAGGAACTCTGACCACTAGACCACAGAGGCGGTCCATATTTTGTAATGCTGAAGAGTATCTCATATGGGAATGCCAAACAGCTCGCCCTAGAAGCAGACCGAAGAGACATGCAAGTGGAAACTTACGGGTGGCCTTGGCAATCGCACCAATGAGGACAGGAGGGATGGCCATGAAGATACATCCCAAAGCTGCGACATATGACAGTATCTGGGCTCTGCCTGCAGTCTTGCTGGATAACACTCTCTGGAAGTACACCTGCAACAACAGATACACAAAACTGAATCATACAGACGATCAGTCCATTTGAGTCTACGGGTAATTGTTGGAAAGTGCCTTTCCTTGGTAGTATTCTCTTCTGGGATGTGACTTCGTGTAGTCTGGTAGAAAATGACAGACACTTAGGAGGAAAATACCACCTCAATTTTCACGGTCGAACATTAAGCCAAGAAAGCAAACAACTAACAGTTAACTGCTTGATTCTTGCTGGCTGCTTCCGTGACTTACTTTTAAACCCAGAAGATGGGGGCAGCAATTTCCTCCGAAACGTCATTGAACTTGTACCAGACTAAAAGGCATCACCAGGTGAAAAATGTTTTCACGTTTGTTGATGTTGTGGAACACCTGCCTTCATTTCTACTACCGCACACAGAATGTTAATCCCATTGTAGGATAACGTAAATTGTAGTTCGTTGGGAGTTCAGTTTCGGTTTTTTTTATTTTTTGTCATAAATTTATATATAGAATGTTTTTCAATTTTAAAAAATAAATCTTTCCTTTCCTATAATTCCATCCATGCATGAATAACACAAGATAATTAAAAATTAAATCGTATTTTATTGCAATTTTTGGAAAAAAATAATCATGTTGTAGTTAAACATGTATTTATTATGAGTACACACTTCTTACTGCTCAAAAGGTAGTGAAAACCAATAATTTGAATCTGTAAAAGTTCATGTTATTTACATTTCCCATCATTGTTAGTGCTACCAACATGAATTTCGAGACTGTTTCATTACCATCAGAGCTTGTTCAGCCCATCTTAAAGAAATGTCTTAATCTGAGCCAACTTCCAACCGATCGAAACGCCACTGATTTAAGGATCCTAACAATACAAGAGAGCTGTATAAATCAGAGAATTCCTCGCAATGTAATATGTTTCTTTCCCAATTACCTGATATCTCTTTGGTATAAATTTTCCTAGCAATTCGTTTTCCAACAGGTTTACTTTCAATTAATCTTCCCTCACATTTGTGGGCATAAATTCCTGTAATTGGTTAGTATAGTATTTCAGTGAATGTCTTTGACTCACTTGCCACGGAATTCCACCGAAGATAAGGAGTAGTCCGTAGTCCAGGTAATAAAAGTATTCGGCAGGTTCCACCCTGCCAACCCAGTCAACAACTTCCGGAGACAGAGATCCAACATGTTCGTTGTACATCGCAAATGGGATGCACATCCACTGCAAGAAATAGTCCCATTTTTTAGAGTATACCTCCGCTTAGGTGTATGCTGCATTTGAATTATCACATACAAATATATGATTAGTTTTTATTTCTAATGAAGATTATGCGAGTAAGAGGCTCTCGCAGCGGAAACCATGAATAATGGTATCGTGGCACTCATTTACCTACGTTTCTCCGAAACATCTGAGTGGACCCCGTTCCAGACCCACTACTTCTCATAAAATCTGGTAGCTCAGGGAATCGAACCCGGGACTTCTAGATCTGTAGCCAGGAACACTGACCACTAAACCATATACAAAATTATAAATCGTTCGGAGAGCATGATAGTAGCACTTAGATTTTTTAACCCGTTTTCGTGGTCTCATTGTCGTTTTCTGTCGTTACCTCTTGGGTGTTCTGTGATTACTTACGAGTCCGATAAAGATGCAGAAGAGCTGGATGACGTCCGTGTAAGCGACGCTGTAAAGACCTCCGAACAGAGTATAGAAGACGGCAATGCAGGAACTGAGGATCACGCTCGTACGGTGGTCCATATCGATAATGACGCTCAACGTCGCCCCTGTGGGACGCCTCATGTTACTCCCAAGTCAGAATTCACTGTTATTCTACTGCCCAGTGTGTCATCATAACAGTCATAACCCCTAACTATGAACAGTTTTATAGCACACAGACCCAAAAGAACAAACGGGCCCTGTTTTATTAAATTCTTAAGTTCAAGGTCGCTTCGCATTGGCAATACTCACCTAGAGCGGCCAGTATACCGGCTGCCCAGAACACCTCCCCGCAGAGGGCAGGCAGGAAAAGGAGTCCTCCCATCCTCTCGCCGAAGGAGTCCTGGAGGGGGTCCAGCATAGTGATGTATCCTTGTTGTCGCATCTTGTTTGCGAAGAAAATTCCACCTGAACACAGCGTCTTTCATGTTACTAGATTTGGGCATGGAGTTCATCATGTTGAAAACAGGTCCGGCGCCAAAATTTATTTTAACGTACTATTTGCTCCATAGAGCTGGACCCTTCTTGAGAAAGCCGTCAGTAGCACAGTTACTCAAGAATTGTATGATTTTTGTGGAACCCAAAGGATCATTATAATGATCCTTTGGGCTCTTGTGAAGACGATAATTATCGTCTTCACAAGAGCCCTCCACTGCGCCCTATCCTGAGCCAAAGCAATCAGGACCATATAAGCCCAATCTACCTCTCTCATATCCATCTTAATATTATCCTCCCACCTACTCTTGGGTCTTCTAGTGGTCTCTTTCCTTCTGGCTTTCCCATCCATATCCTTTATGCATGCCCTTATCGCAATTTCTTGTTACATACCCTGCCCATCTCTTCTTCCTTGACTTGATCATTCTAATTATACTTGGAGAAGAGGACAAGTTATGAAGCTCCTCATACTGCATTTTTCTCCAACGTCTTATCACTTAAGTCCTCTTCGGTCCAAATATTCTCCTCAGCAACCTCTTCTCAAATACCCTCAGTCTATCTTCCTCCTTTAATGTCAGAGACAAAGTTTCGCATCCATACAGAACCGCAGACAAAATCATAGTTCTGTGTATATTAAATTTTACGTTTTAGACAATAGATGGGAAGAGAATTTTTTCTGGGCCGAATGGTAACAAGCATTACCGAATTCAATCTCCTCTTAATTTCCTCCTCAATCAAATTTTAATTTGTTAGTGTCCTTCCAAAATATCTGAACTGTGCCATATTTTCGAAACATCTAATAGCTATCTTTATGTTAGAATTTTCCCTGCATTTTGGTGAGGAGACAGCAACATAACTTAATCCTCTCTGCATTTACTTCTAGACAAACCTCCTTACTAGCGTAAACTACAGTTTCTTCGTTTTTCTTTATGGTATCTGTGTTATCTCCCAGTAGATTCACATCAGAGTAGACCAGTTTAACTCATTTATTTCAGTATATTACATGCAAAAAATCTTATCAATTCTTAATATATTACGTCGAAATTCTCATTGATGATCCCCAATAATTTCATCTATATATGGACTTAACCTTGAGATAAGAATATTGGATAAGATTTTGTATAAAGTTGGTAGCAGTGATATCCCCCGATAATTACTACAATCAGTTTTATCGCCCTTCTTGTGAACTGGTACAATAACATTAAGAATACCTTTCCAATTTGCAATAACACTTACAACCTCAAAAGAGCTAGGATCAGGTACCAACACCTCAGCTGTGTGGATTTCTGTCTGCCTAACATCACTGACCCTATGTACATTCAATAACTGAGAGAAGTTGTTCTTCCACCTATTCAAAATGTGGGAATCTGCAAGTAGATCACCAGTCTCATCTTTCACTAAGTTACTTGGTGACCCCTCTTAAAGTAATTTATTCCTCTATACAGATCTCTAAAGTTCTTGTTCTTACTGTTCATTGCAAGCTCTTCAATTCTTTCTTTCAGATATTCCATCTTTATATTCCTGAAATGCCTGCTGGTTTCGCGTCTTGTATTGTTCAGATTATCCCCACTTATTTGGCTTGAACCGTGTAATCATTGCAATTTGACTTGTTTCCATTGATCAGTAGTTTCAAACTTTCTTCGTCAAACCATGACATAATACTTCTTCAGTTCATAATAACCTAGATCCCTTTTGGCTAAAAAACTTTTTTATATTTTCTCTATTTGTTTCCCATGTTTTTTTTTAATATCCAAATCATTACCTAAGTTTCCCAAAGCTGCGAGTCTATTTAACATTTTAATCTGATACCGCTCTTTACCGTCAACGTCTTTTAATTTCTTGAGATTGAACCCCTCCGTATGAAATCTATGCGTTGTTTATTTACCTATTGTCAGTTCCCTCCCCCCCTAGTGGCGGTAAACAGTCTCGTCTTCCTTTGCTAGCTTTTCCGGTTATGGAGTGAGGATGGTGTGATATAAACTGCATGGCACATATTTCAGGCAATCTTTTCAGAATTTGAAAATGCAATTTACCCTCTTAAACTTTACTAACAAATTTGATTTTATTGCGTTTACCTCACACGTGAGTGGTTAATTGGTTCACTAATTGGTTAGTTGATTGCTCACCCTTCTATTCAATTGGTTCTTTAGTTACATGGTTAATTATCAGCTTAATTGGTTCGTTAACTAGTTAACCTACTGGTTAGTTTTTTTACTAGCTGGTTGATTAATTTCTTTGTTAGGTATTACAGTGTTTCTTCATGAGCCACTAAATTTGTCTGTTAGTTGTCAAATTGGTAAAGAGTAAGACTAAAGCTATCCGTGTAGGCCCATAGCGTTGTGAGATGTTGAGGTTCCCACATTTTCTAGACAATCGGCTCATAGATGGCGGTAAGGTTGTCAGCCTTACTCGCCGGCCGCCCTTTACCCCCAAGAATATTCCTGGTACTCATTTCTGTTAGAGACTGAGTCGACCCCAGGGCCATAGTGCGGCTGGAAAGATTATTTAAATTGAAAAAATCCAATGACGTCATCGGGATTCGATCCCGCGACCTTCCTGTTTGTAGCATTGTGCCTCAACCAACTACGCTACCGCGTGCCCCCATCAAATTGGTAAGACAGTGAAATAGATTCTTGGTAAGCGAACCAGTCAGCTGTCTAGCAAATGTGACGAAGGTCATGTATACTTACCAAACACGAGACTGAGCGCGTAACCGAAAGGAGCCTGGCACCAGATCAACCCTGACGTGTAGATTGCTTCGGCTGTGCCATTGATGTACCCTCCTCCGACCCATGTAGCTGTAACAGAACCGATGTACTAAGCGAGTAGAAGCACACGTTGGGTTTATAGTGAGGTACTATCTATACCGTGATTATGTTTGCAGTAGTAGAGTTGTGCCTGTAATAAGCCAAAATCCCTGTCACTGAAAGGAGCCAGGGTAGCGCTGTCGGTATAGCTACTGGCTACGGACTGGACGACCGAAGGGTCGGAGTTCGAGTTCCGGAAGAGTCAAGAATTATCTCTTCTCCACGTCATCTAGATCGACTCTGGGGTTCACCCAACTTCCTATTCAATGGGTACCTGGGGCTCTTTCCCCGGGGTAAAAGCGGCCAGGGCGTGAAGCTGACCATTCTCCTCCAGCTAGTGCCGAGATCAAGAACATATGGATCTATACATCCACTCCCCGTACGCCTTCATGGCGTAGTGCTTAAAATTCGTTGAGCACAGGGACAACTTTACCTTTTTTTTTTACCCTGTCACTGAACTTGCAACGTCTTAGCTAGCAACCGATTGGCAGGAAATTTCTTGATTTCTGATTTCATTATAGCATGCATAAGGAAGAGACGATTAGAGGGATTCCTGAAATGAGGGCATGAACTCGTGGCAGGTCACATGGCCTAGCGCCTGACAGGATTACGATTAAGATTATGATGGTGATATCGAACTTCATCCTCGAGTGAGTGCATAATATTAAGGATATCTCAGGTTGTGGTTGTATTTACATATTTTTCCTCGGACTTTTAAAGATATATGCCGGGGTATTAGCTGCAATTGCCGGTCACGGTAGCCGAGCGGTCTAAGGCATGCACTGTCTTCGCTCGCTCGGGAAGCCGGAATCGTGGGTTCGAATCCCACTCAGGGCATGGATGTTTGTGTGCGTTTTTCTGTGTTTGTCTACAGGTAGAGGCCTTGCGACGAGCTGATCACTCGCCCAAGGAGTCCTACCGGATGTGTAAGATCTAGTAAACCGACTTGAAACGGAGAGTTTCATGGAGGTAGGCCTAGGCCCAAATTGGGGCTGTAGCGCCACAGAAAAAAAAAATAGCTGCAATTAGGTCTTTGCTGCTTCCTCCACATCCTTTCAAATTCATTGTTTTTCTTCTTGCTGTTCGAAGATATTGTGTAGCCTAAACTGCTGTCAGCGTCATTAAATAAGCCATGAATAAATTAAGACTAATAATGATAAAGATCAGTTATGTATACAAAACGGTATAAACTGCATTCATGCAGCTCTCCAAAGGCGTTATGTATTCGTAAAGAACGGATGTATGTGTATGAAGACTCGCTTCTGGTAATGCCTCTCCAGTCAGTGAGTCTGAGTGTCTGTAAGGAGGTGGAGAAGGCCACAAAGTAAACACTCCGGGAAGGTCCACAAGAGCTCTCCTCTTTCAACAGGATTAGCACCTCACTCAGTGGTAGTAAGAGCAGTGATCTGTGCCCCTCAGATACGTTTGACAACAAGGAAGCTTCTTGTGAAATCTATACGCCTATTTGTATTAGTCTGAATCCCCATACAAGAAGTTCTTTTAAGCATCCGAGAATTCATAGTTCAAAAATAAATTTGAATCTAATCTGACGTGATGGCCAAAATGGTCACCGAAGAAGAACGTGAAAAGTGTTCAGATCTTTCAATCATCCTGTACATTTGAAAGTGCAAATTTGTGACACGAGAGAGAGCTGGAACTTTTACGACTATGAGTTAATGAATAAAATTTTATGGGTCAGTATTCTGTTAATTTCAGATCAGCTCGTATATAACATGACCGGAGTGTTCGCTTTTGTTATAGGGACCTGATTGATCTTCTTTCAATTACTTGTGCCCTCCTGTTTACCTGTAAACACAAATTTCAACGCGGCCACTTCATTTTGGGTTCATTATAATAAAGATCTGTCTGCTACAAATTACATTCAGTGTTTAAACTTCATGAAAGAGAAGATTAAGCCAGACGTCACGGAAAGACGTGGGTAACGAAGAATTCGGGCCCAATTACAGAAACATCTAGCAATAGGAGAACACAGTTATGTACATATTCCCTTAAGTATGATTTAAACAAATATTACGTAATTTAATGATAAATATTTTATGTTGTCTTTTTATAACATAATTTTTTTCCTTAATACATTCTGAACTTATACTTATTTCGTTCTAAAATAATTTTAAATAACAACAAATTAACTATAAATTGCCTTAGTTAGTCTTGTTTGATTTGATAAGATTCTTGATAATAATTTTTATGAAATGTTTATGTTGTAAATGATTTTACATAATGAGTCTCATGACAGGAAAACAGGAAAACGTTTAGGAAAGTAACTTGATTCTTTACCTTATTGCATTTTCCCTTAATTTTCACTTTTACTTTTGCTACCTTAATTATCTGGGGTACACGGTAGCGTACTTGGTTGAGGCATTATGCTACAAGCCGGAAGATCGCAAGTTCGACTCCCGATGAGGTTATTGGATTTTTCAATTTACCTAATCCTTCCAGCCACACTATGGCCCTGGGGTTGACTCAGCCACTAACAGAAATGAGTACTAGAAATCTTCCTGGGGGTAAAGGGCGGCCGGGGCGTAAGGCTGACAACCTCACCGCCATCTGTGAGCCGATTGTCTAGAAAATATAGGAGCCTCGACGTCGAACACCCCTATGGGACACATCTCACAACGATGCGTTGCCGTTTTACTTCTTGACTAGAAGGGCTGGACGTCCCCATTAATACGAGGGAATATTTTAGGTTAACTCACTTTTGGAAAACTCTGTATCGAGGAGCTTCATGGTCTGTGTTCTTAATTAAATAAAGGATTCTGAGATGAGCCTGGCTTCCAGCACGCACTGGAGAAACAATAAATGCAAATGTTTGGGTTGAAAAATATTCTTGAATATACGTCATTTATGAAACAAAATGTGAGGACAGCACTATCGCGAAACCTTCATGAGGATTTGAACCTTCGTTGAGTGGCTTATGTGTTGATCATGTTGGCACTTACGTTTCTTAATGAGGACTTACTGCGTAAGTAAAGAACTATCGATTAGATCCGTTCAGGAAAGTCATTGAACCAATGTAAGAGCGAGTTAATTACTTAGGAACTGAATAAGTAATTAAATCTATAATCGAATGATTGAGAGTATAAATTAGTGGCTGGGTGAGACAGAAGATTAATTTTTTTAATTCGCTTGGGGGGGGGGG